GCCCTGCCCTCCTCACCCCCTGCCCAGGCCACGGAGAATGAGGATTCCTGTCCCAGCTCAGGCTCCCTGGTGGCAGCTCCGGCGTCCCCACCTTGTAGCCGCACTTGTCGATGACCTCCAGGATGTGTGGGGGCAGGGAGGAGTCCTTCCAGGAGCGGATGGGGTTGGGAATCTTGCCCCCCTTGGTGGTGATGCTGTAGTCCTCGCGGAAGATGCGCCAGTCCCTGTCCGTCATCTCGTCCAGCTTCTTCTGGGACCAGTGCCGGTCATCCCAGCGCTGCTTGGCCTCCTTCTTCCGCAGCTTCCGCAGCCGGGCCCTGCACAGGAGACAGGACTCACCCGCCGGCCCCAGCACCTCCGGGGACGCTGGGTTTTCCCCTCCGCTTGCACAGGGACACGCTGTAACCCAGAGTCCCTCGTTCTGTCCTCACACGGGCGCACAGAGCCAGACAGGACCCCCCTGTGCCCCCAGCACGCTCACTCTTCCTGCTCCTTCTCCTCCAGCGTCCGCCTCTTCTCCATCAGGTCTCCGTAGAACCGGGACTGCTCCCGTTTCTGCTGCTTCAGGTCGATGCCAGCGATGAAGCCCCGGCCCAGCAGCTGCACCTGGTGCCGCTCCTTGTACCTGCGGCAGGAGGGAGCGTCAGGGCCAGGGCTGCCCCGTGTCCCCAGCACTGTCCCCGCTCGCCGGCACTCACAGCGGGTTGTAGTCGATGGACGTGTCCTCGGACGCGTCCCACTCGAAGACGAACTTGCGGTCGTTGAGGTGCCGCGTGCGGCGCCGCTTCTTCACTCCTCCCAGGTACCGTTCCTGGGGGTGCCAGAGCGGCCACCTCGTCCCCCAGTCCAGGCTCCCTCCCCTGGCCCCAGCGAAAGGGCCCTGGCGTCCGGGTCGCCCCCGGCCCGGGGGTCCGTGGCCGGCTGTACCTTGATAGCGTGGAGCTCTTTGCTCTTGTCTTTCTCCTCGCGGATCTTCTGCCTGCCCTCCTCGTCCTCCGTGCCGTTGGTTTCCCGCTCCATGCGCTCCCGGCGCTCCCTGCGCTCACGCTCCTGAGGGTCTTCTGGGGAAGCCGGGAAGGGGCATCAGAACCGAGGCCTCCGTGGCGCTGCGGGGGGCTGTGGTGGGGACAACGCCGTACCCAGCATCTTCCTGCCCATCTCCTGGAACTGCTTCCGCTTCTTCCTCTCCTCTTCGAGCAGCCGCTGCCGCTCCTCGACCTCCTGCTGCCGCCGCCGCAGGGCCTCGGCCTCGCGCTCCGCTTTGGACAGGAATTTGGGCTGGGGCAGGGGGGGCAGCTTCACTGCAGGGCCGGCTGCGACGCCAGGGCGGCCCCCTGCCCAGGCAGGGAGCGTCCCCATCCACGGGGACAGGAGCGTCCCCATCCGCCGGGATGGGGAACGTCCCCCCTGCTACAGCCACCACGGGAAAAGGGAGACCCCAAAGGGCTCTGGCTCCTACCTTGGCTTCAGCCTCTTCTTCTGCCTTCTTCTTGGCCAGCAGCTCCTCCAGGGACAGCGGCTGGGCCTGCAAATGAAGGGTCGGGCCGTCAGCAGCCCCGAAGGCTCCATTCCCGCCAGTGGGACAGCAGCTGCCCCCAGAAGCAGCATCCAACCCCTTCCTTGCCTGCACCTTCTCCTTCTTCAGCGCGTTCTCATCCTCGTCCTCCACCTTCCGCGAGTCCCGGTCCCTGCGGGACTTGGAATCCTTCCCCCTGCTCGGGGACAGGCTGCCGAGCAGAGCAAAGGGCAATGAGGCGGCGAGC